TCTCTCTCTCTCTCTCTCTCTCTCTCTCTCTCTCTCTCTCTCTCTCTCTCTCTCTCTCTCACACACACACACACAAACATTCTATCTCTTACTTACTACCTATCCCTCTCTCTCTGCACTGTTCACGCCAGAATTAGCTCGCCGCCTTGCGGTGGTTGAGGAAAACAAAAGATCAGCAACCTCGAGGTGAGCAGTAGGTATGCTGTGGGCCCAAGGGGGGGGGGGGGGCGTTGTGCAAACAGCAATAAGTGCCGAGTCTGGCGAAACAGGAATGTTTTATTTTGTTTCCGGTCTCTGTATTTGTTTCCAGTATCGGTTTGGCTTTATTTTTTGACAAAATTTTAGGACCTTCACAGCTAAACAGTAGGTACTCAGTTAGGGTGGGATGGCGGTAAGTATTTGGAGGGACATATTGAAAGACACTCCTTTTTAATATTTCAAAGTCACCGAAACTGTGCTTGTCGCGCCGCCTCGGATACAAATGGACCTCACCTAAGACGACTAAAACCTGTAAAAAAATAACCTATTTTTGACTATAAAAATATGATGTAGTGATGGCAGCCTAACGCGATGGGCGGGGAGCCCAGACCGCCGCGGTTTTTAGAGACGCATATGTGACGGGTGCGCGATGCATCCGATGCAACGGTGCAGTTCCGTCGGAATGGAAATAGCACCGGGCCGGTGGCGACGCGTGTGTGCAGCACGCATTACGCTAGGTGGACACTCACGCACCTGCAGCTGCACCACAGCGTCTGCAGCTGCACCTCAGCGCCTGGAGCTGCAACGCACATGGGCTCCGCGCGCACCTACCTGCAACACAAGACAACAGGAAAATTAGGAACGTAATTGGTTTTTTTTTCTAGCCATGCAGTTGCAGGACGTGTGTGAATAATGCGATGATGTGGCTGAGTGAAAACCGCGGAAAAAAGTTATTCCGAGAGCTTTCAGCCTATTAGGCGGAGGTTAGGCTACGACGGCAAGGTGTTGCGCCGTGGCCGCGGGGGCCTCGGCGGCTACCCTCCGCGGCGATACCCCCCCTGCTGCGATGGCGGGGCGGGGCGGGGCCGGATATGGGAGGGGCGGCGGCGATGCACTTAGGCCCCTGCGAGGAAGAGGATATGGCGCGTACGTCACTGAGGCGTGTCTTGTCCTCGCCGAGGTCCTCTCTACAAGGGATGCCACGCGCGCTACGCCACGCCATACTCCTGACACGCAGCTACTTATTACTCACTCCGATATTTTATTTATTTTCGTTCTGAAGAAAAAACAAAAACAAACACTGCATCATTTTTGCATCATTGAATAATTAGAGCTGTTCGTTGCCGATGACAACCATACAGGTTATTTATTGTATCATTTGTTTAATTAAAAACTAATTATTGGGAGCCTATTGCCCTTGTCGCTTTTAATAAAAATTTATTGACAAAAACGTCACGAAAAGTTCATCACGAGGCCATGAAGGTGTAACGTATCAGAATGTACTTATAAAACGTTTATCAGAAAAGTGGGGGGGATAGAATCACAGCCACATGGGACGATGTGGACGTAGTTTTTCTCAACACAGGGTGATTGGTTTGAAACTCATCCACCGCGCACCTGCGGGCCGGTGTTGCACCGGGCGCGCACTCCGCCCTGTAGGCCCTAGGGTAAGACGGCCCTTCGAGAGGCGAACCCTTCGCGAGAGTTTTTAGAGTACGTTGGAGCGGTCGTAGGAGGGGAGGAAAGTTTGTGTGGCAGCAGAGCGTGCCTGCCTAGAGCCTCCCCGCCCCCATCCTCCTTCTGCCTCACTGTCATCCCCCATTTCTCCCCTTCCATTGCGTGTTTCTGATTAGCATTCTACTAATATTTCAGTCCCGCATAGAAAAAGCCCAACGTTTGAGAGAGGCTCCACTACGCTTCACCACGCCCCGCCCCCCACGTCAAGATGCCATACATCGAGGTGTCAGATTGGAATCACTCGCAGCAGAGAGCGTCGCAGCGAGGCGTGCGCCACATAGCTGGGCATCGAGGCGCCCGCCGGGAACGTCACATCGCCGTCCAAGCCATTAGGGTGATGCGCGCGTGCCTCTCTCTCTCTCTCTCTCTCTCTCTCTCTCTCTCTCTCTCTCTCTCTCTCTCTCTCTCTCTCACTCGCTCTCTCAATTTGGACTTGTATTTCCACACTTTTACCAATCTGATGGTACTCCAGTTGGACTCATTAGTCCTTTTGTACCTCTTATGAATAAGTCAAATCAAATCAAATCAAATCAATCTCTCTCTCTTCCTCTCTCTCGACAAAAGGCAAACGGACGAAGGGATGTTAAAGCCCCTATAACGTCCTGTAAGGCGTATAGCGACGCGGTGAGGACCAAAACGGACGCCGGGGTCGGGGCCGGGGCGAGGGGTGGAGGAACAGATACATAAGCGAGCGCCGTCGGACAAGCCTCGGAGCTAAATTACATCCCTTTTCTGAAAATATCCCCCACGCCGCTCTGCCTTTCCCTTTCGAGCCCGTTGAGAGCCGCGGCGGGGTGGGAGGCCACACGCGTCCAGCGCGACAGCGGAGCAGCGGCGTCGGCGGAACACAAAGGGTACACGGCACGACACAACCACAGACACAAACTTGAAAAAGTGTAAAATTTCCCCGCTTTAGAGAAGTGTCACAAAGGAAGGTGAAGGTCTTGTGTAATTTTCCAAACCGCCATCACGCACCATTTGCACCACACCGACCTAAATCAACTGCAAGAACTTTGGCAAACAGCAACCGGGGCAGCGCAGGCGCCTGCGAGGTAGGCAAGTTGTCCACCGGCGTGTGCGCCACACGGACATTGCCTACCTACACGGCGCTCCGTGCCTCCGGCGCCGGGCTCCGGGCGGCGGGACCGGTGCGGTGGTGGGGGTCCGCCCGCCAGGTAGGCAAACCGCACTCAGGGCTGCGCGCCACCCAGACATTGCCTACGTCTACGGCGCTCCGTGCCTCCGGCGGGGGGCTCCGGGCGGCGGGGCCGGTGCGATGGTGGGGGTCCGCCCGCCAGGTAGGCAAACCGCACTCACGGATGCGCGCCACCCAGACATTGCCTACCTCTAGGGCGCTCCGGGCCTCCGCTGGCGGAGCGCCCGCCTGGCTTTGGTCAGCTGAAGCCGGAGGACTCCGGGGAAAACGACTTAACGACGTCCCAATCAATACCATGTGTTTGGTGAAATAAATTTCTTGTAAGTTCGATAGTATGAGAAGAATCGATGGTTATGCGAGACAAGCTCTTTCCTTTTCGTCGACTGAAAAGACGATGACTGTTGGAGTGATGGAAGTGAACGGTAGAGGAGGAGGAGGAGGGTCTGACTCGAGTCAGAGAGAGAGAGAGAGAGAGAGAGGGGGGGGGGTAAGGGTCCTGGAGCGGATGAGAATGGGACAAAACGAAAATAAAACACGAAAAAAGGCTGCATTGCCAGGTTTGGCGCAGAATAGTAAACGGGCGTGAAGGTAGGGGATCGGCCGAGAAAGGAGAGCAGGGGGGGAGGGAGGGGAGGGCGGTGAAGAGGACGGGGTACCACTGGAAGAGGGGGGCTGAGTGCCTAGTCGTAAAGCCCTGAGCGGGAACCGTTCCGGTGAGAGAGAGAAAAGGGGGGGGGGGGGAGACCTATGCGCGGAAAGGGCGAAGTTCAATCCTGGAGATCCACGCCCCCCCGCTCCCTTCTCACACCAGCAGCTTAACTCA